ACTAGTCCGAGCGTCAAATATGGCCTACCCACTGGAATACTTCCCCACGGGATATCTATATATATAACCCTATAAGAAGGTGACATTTTTGACATAACTGGAGAGTATTGAATATTCTCAGATGACGGTTTTAGAGAGGAAAAGCACTCTTCTACAAGGTCGTGCCCCATTTCAAACGTTAAGATGTCAAAGGCCACAGTACCGCTCTGTAAGGTCACAGTAAGACTCAATAAGGTCACGGCATTGCACTTTTCACAAACATTACCATTCTTTCTGCTGTTGCATAAATCTGCTTCGACTTTAGATTTTGATACTCATGGGATAGTACTGGAAAATTATGATAATACGGGATATAGCACTGGGTACCATTGCGATAAAATTGGATATTACTAGATAACTTTGATAAAAGTGGATATAGTAGTGGATACCACTACGATAATAGTGGATATTACTGGAAAACTGTGATAATAATGGATATAGTAGTGGGTATCACTACGATAAAATTGGATATTACTGGATAACTGTGATAATAATAATGGATATAGTAGTGGATACCACTACGATAATAGTGGATATTACTGGATAACTGTGATAATAATGGATATAGTAGGGGATATCACTACGATAATAGTGGATATTACCGGATAACTGTGATAATAATGGATATAGTAGTGGATACCACTACGATAATAGTGGATATTACCAGATTACTGTGATAATAATGGATATAGTAGTGGATACCACTACGATAATAGTGGATGTTACTAGATAACTGTGATAATAATGGATATAGTAGTGGATACCACTACGATAATAGTGGATATTACTGGATAACTGTGATAATAATGGATATAGTAGTGGATATCGCTACGATAATAGTGGATATTACTGGATAACTGTGTATATAGTACTGGATGCCACTGCAATAACACTGCAATGGATAAAAAAAAACACCCATTGACACAGGGCGTTACATATATACATGTACATGTGTCGTGCAGCACAAGAACTACTAGCTGCCATTTAAATTGCTCAATATAGCAGGCACGGTGCAGCACGTGCCGAGAGCGAGTAAGATTCTGCCCTTTGTAGTGGGGACGTCCGCAAACCGGGAACTTAACTCCCATGAACTTTTTAAAGTATTTTCGTTAAATCGTTTTGTTGTTTTAGTCGCACACTTAACTATGTCGACGGCTTGGTTAACATTCCACATTTATGTCGTTATAGGCCTACAACAATGTATACTGAGACCTACGTTTTAACTTTAGCATTTTTTTAATATCAGAAGTATAAAAATCGAGGACGCAATTGCTGAAAATTTATCTCTCTCTATCGATCTATCTTATTTTTATAAATTTTTTAAAGTCGAGAGAAAAGAAACNACTACGATAATAGTGGATGTTACTAGATAACTGTGATAATAATGGATATAGTAGTGGATATCACTACGATAATAGTGGATATTACTGGATAACTGTGATAATAATGGATATAGTAGTGGATATCGCTACGATAATAGTGGATATTACTGGATAACTGTGTATATAGTACTGGATGCCACTGCAATAACACTGCAATGGATCCAAAAAAACACCCATTGACACAGGGCGTTACATATATACATGTACATGTGTCGTGGAGCACAAGACCTACTAGCTGCCATTTAAATTGCTCAATATAGCAGGCACGGTGCAGCACGTGCCGAGAGCGAGTAAGATTCTGCCCTTTGTAGTGGGGACGTCCGCAAACCGGGAACTTAACTCCCATGAACTTTTTAAAGTATTTTCGTTAAATCGTTTTGTTGTTTTAGTCGCACACTTAACTATGTCGACGGCTTGGTTAACATTCCACATTTATGTCGTTATAGGCCTACAACAATGTATACTGAGACCTACGTTTTAACTTTAGCATTTTTTTAATATCAGAAGTATAAAAATTGAGGACGCAATTGCTGAAAATTTATCTCTCTCTATCGATCTATCTTATTTTTATAAATTTTTAAAAGTCGAGAGAAAAAAATAGAATTTTGAATTGGTTTCGCATAACTANAGGGCCGTGGGAGTGGAGGATCGTGGACGTGGAGGGCCGTGGGTGTGGAGGATCGTGGACGTGGAGGGCCGTGGGTGTGGAGGATCGTGGACGTGGAGGGACGTGGGCTTGGAGGATCGTGGACGTGGAGGGCAGTTGGAGTGAAGGGCCGTGGGTGGCTGCCACCTGTGGGCCAGTAGTGATGCTAATGACGGTCCGTCAGTGGCCCATCGACTCTGTGTTATCTGGAATGTTGCAATCTCTACCTGAAGGAACTTCTGATAACCAATCTGTGCACATGTACAGAATATCTTATGACATGGTGGCTGCCTCGTAGTTTCGCACATCCATTTAAAATTGAAAAAAATATGCGGGTTTTCTCTTAACTGGTATGATAATAAATTTAAGAAACGCATTATAGGATATTACTTCAAACATAAAGCATATTAGTCCAAATCAATACTTTGTAAAAAGGCGCAACAAGTGTGTTTATTTTAATAAATTTATCTGCTTCCACATCTTCACTGCCAGGTCACAAGTGATTTAAAGGAAACAGCCTATAGCGAATGTAAACAAACCTGGACCTCGTCTTTTTTAAAGCCTATAGGTAGACCGCAGTGAGTCGAGTTTAATTGGGAAATTTAAGCCGCGTTAATCACTTTCTTTTCAGTTTTCGGACACAAAGCCGATACTTGAATCGCATAACTGTCGCTTTGTTTGAAATTCCTAACGCTGAGAAAGTTGGTACACGAGGTGCTACTGTATAAAATATATAAAGTGGTTCGCCTGTTTGTGTGTGTGTGTGTGTGTTTGTGTGTGTGTGTGTTTTTGCATATCCGTTTATCTCTTAACGAGTGATCATATAAAATGTGGACTAACGAAAGATGAAACAATTATATATCAAATAAAAGATACATTTCCAAAAAAGGGTCCGTAATTTGGTCCAGTCATCAGTTGGCACGACTGTACAAAATCGTTGATGCACAAACAAGGAAGCAAAAATAAAAGTAAAAAATAACGGGATAGGTGACTCTCCTCAGATCCGTAGTTCCTCTGCCCATGACTGATACATCTGAAAAAGATTGAGAAGGTATCGCCCCCCCCCCCCCCCACTTGCTCCCGGCTCCGGCTCCTATGAAAAGAAATACAATGAAAAAAACAAAAAGGTTTTGTTAGTCATCACCATATAATATTTTCACCACAGAGAGGCCCTTAAGTCCGTTCATTCATCAGCTGACACAACTGTTCAAACAATGATAAGAAGGAAGACATGAATATTGACATAATTTTACTTGATTTTTCGCCGAATCTGTACCATGTGTCTATCCCCGTCATTCCAAGGATGGCGAGTTGGCAAATTTGCGAGGCAATCGTGATAAAGCAACGTGATGAAGACATTTTAATATCAGTAGAGATCTCATTTGTCCGTGACGCACCAATGCTATTGTTATTTTCATGTCCAGACTCTCACTCTCTCTCTCTCTCTCTCTCTCTCTCTCTCTAACACATCAGTGTGTCAGGTACGGCAGCGTAACTCAACCTTCGCCCCATTCAACAAATTAATAATTTTTTGTCACATGAATCACCGCCACTCACCACGCCAGTCAAGGCAGTGCGTCATTATAAAGAAACACAATATAAAAGTCCAAATTCGTCTTTAGCACTGACAATTCAGAGTGCGACTGGGGTCAACCTTCCAACAAATGACAGCCAAGTGAAGAGACCCTTTCAAGCCCTGCTGGAAGAAGATCCGCGGGCACATTCACACCATCTTCAAAAGAAATCGATTTAAGAAACCATCAGGGTGATTTTGATATTTATAATCCAACTATGTGACGTGTTGCATCCCGAAAAAGCAATCTCGCCATACAAACCCAACGGTTTGATAACAATAGGCGCTCTCAAGGGTCATTTCTGTCGATCTGATGGGCGAGTCTCTTGGGTTGCAGTCTTGTGTAGATTTTATGACTGAAGTTACGAAATAACAGTTGGTCGTAGATTTTACCCGAAAATACCAGTTCACGCCCATAATACACCAGCAGTACGTACTTAAATAAAATATTAGAAAGGTTCATGAAAGTTACATTATAAAAGTTACATTATAAAAGTTAAGCGGACTACTGCTGATTTCAGTAGACCAAAAATTTCGGTCCAAAAGGTAATGAAAACTGTCTGTCTAACGTTCCATCGTGAAAGAGTTCCCGGGGTGCAGTATTGAAGGAGATGGCGTGGTGGCATTTCGCTTGGCTGAACGATTTTTCACGCATGAAACTTCTGACGCAAGTTGAAGGGGTATTGATCAAGTGCCGCGGGAAAAATGCGAGGTCTGGGACTGAACGAATTTATGAGAAAATAGAAGCGTTTGACGACTACATTTTTATGTAACATTTTATGCATGTAATGTTCCGATTAGAGATAAATGTCTCATCTTAACTTGCAAAAATGTTTATGCTGAGCGTTTGAAACAGTGGGCCGTAGAAGCGACAGTTTGGTTTTGGGTATGGGCGAGGGGAAAAAGTGCAAAGAATGATTAATCAAATCAAAATAACACAAATAAACACATCTTATCATTCAAATAAATTATATAGGATTTATAGCATTTACACATGTATATATTAACATACTGTACATGTAAAGTACACAGGTATCTTTTTTCCTTGCAGTGTCTGTCGTCTATACTCTGAAGTTAAAATAGGTGTTTTCATGTTAAATAAAAAATGATATTAACAAAAGGCTAATCATGACGGTAGAATATAATATCATTTTGCTCGTTTGATTTCACCCCTCTCAAAAGTGCAAATCCTTAATTGTAATATAATTTGGTATTAATATATCTAAGGATTATTGTTTGTATAAGAAAAGAGAGCCTGTGGATACAATCTTCACACCCATGCTTAATATACTTATGTACTATTACTTATTATTATTATTATTATTATTATTATTATTATTATTATTATTATTATTCCCAGGGTTCTGGCCGGGGCCCCTAACTCCAAGTCAAAATACCAAAGATCGGTCCTCAATCCCGGAGCCCTGTATAAGTGTGAAATCAACGGAACTATTTCCCGCGGATGCTCGCAAGTCAAGCTGGATAACAAGGGTACGTTTACATCCTCCAAACAATAACCTCGATTTCAGGGTAATGCATGCGTTTCTTGGTAGGACTAGAATGCAAACCGAGGCTGCTGGTAGCTCCCAAAAGTCAGAACATGGAGAAACATTATCGTGTTTCTCTAAATAAATTTTAACCAGTAGAGGTACATTTCTATGTAGTACTTATTTACACAAAATCGTAAAAAATATTTATTATTATTTATTCATTTATTACTAATTTATTGATTAAAGCTTATAATGCGATTAGACTTTTATATGAATGTGGCAGATGTAGCAAAAAAAATCGTATCGTAACAGAAATGTAGAACTTGAAACGGACTGTAATTTTCTCATAATTTTACGATAGGATCTATCCTTGTGATTAATTACAGAGGAAATTGCCAATATTAACTGATATATTGTTTATATGCTTTATTAAGATTTAGACCGTATTGTATGTCTATAAGGCTCCAGTACTTCAATTCTGTTGTTCTTCAGGTAACAGGCACAAGACAGAACATCCGCTGTATTACTATAGTAGGAAAGAGGAGCAGCTTTTAGGTCTGGCATTAGATAATCAAAACGGACCCAATGCAAGTGTTGTGGTAGGGACCAGTATTAACCACTTGTTTTGAAAATTTGTCTTTGAAAAATGTGAAAATAAAAAAAAAAAATTGGGGCAGGTTAAGGACTGGGGTAGGGCGGGGGTGGAGGGTAGAGTGTCGGGAGTAAAAATAATGTAGACTTTAAATAAGGTGCGCTTCTTAATGACACTGAGAGCACACAGTTTATGGACAGCTATTGGTGTAAATGGTTTTAAAGTAGATTATTTTTTGGTCGCGTACACACAAACACACACACACACACACACACACACACACTAAGAAAAACATCGTGCCCCGGAATTTTTGTAAGTGATTGTGATTGTTGTTCCTACGGTTGCGTTTTACAACTATGTCATTGATCTCTTTCTTCTTGTTTTTTCCCTAGATTTGTGCACCACAGTGGAAAGACCAAAGATACAGGAACCACTATCTAGTGAACGGAATGTGTTACACAATCAACAACAACCTGGACTTTTCCAGTGTGAAGCAGCATCACCCGATGACGGTGCTAAGCCAGCAGATCACCCAGCAAGGGGTGTATTATTACGCCTTGGGTCAGGCAGGCTTCTCCGCACATTACATGAAGGTGGGTTGTATACTTTTTTATGTACAGACATGAAAAGAAAAAAAAACCTTCAAACTTAATTTCATGGGCGTGTTTTTCAAACCGAACAGGACAAGGTCCATCACTATAGATATATATTCCAAACCGCAAAGGAAAAAGTCCTTCGCTATAAATTTATATATTCCAAACCGAAAAGGAAAAAAGTCCATCACTATAAATTTATATATTCCAAACCGAAAAGGAAAAAAGTCCTTCACTACAGATATATATTCCAAACCGAAAAGGAAAAAAAGGTCCATCACTTAGATATATATTCCAAACCGAGAAGGAAAAAAAGGTCCATCACTTAGATATATATTCCAAACCGAAAATACCCATTAGTATAGATGTGTGACGTCGTTCTCCTTCTCCAGGACGGCAACATGCTGCTGGGTGCCGTGGGAATGTACGACTGGCTGGGAGGGCTTGTTCACGTGGACAAGACAGGCCGCAGTGAGAACTTTATCCCAGATCCACGGGTCTTTGATAACGATAGCTACATTGGTAAGACCATACGTCTGTAATATTGTCTTTTACTGTCACCTGGGTGTGAGGGGATGGTGATGTCTTTTCCGTTAATAATGATAATAATGATTTCAAAGACTTAAGAGAGAGAGAGTGAACAGATTGACGTCACTAATTGATAAGACGATATTAAAATAGATCTATGAAAACGTATTATTATATTAATAATCATTTGCCGCAGAATGATAGAATTATGTGAAAAATGCGGGAATAGAATAAAATGCATTCATATTTCGTTTTTGCCCTAGGGTACGCTGTATCCTCGGGAAAGTTCTTCCCCCAGGGAAACTTAAATTACGTCACCGGAGCACCAAGAATGAAGCTGACAGGAAAGGTAGGCTTAATTTCATTTTGTCTTTTTTTGATATACTAATTGTCCAGCATTCCGTTTATTTTTGTCCACTTTGACTCGAGAAAAATCAAAAGTTACAAAATTTTTGGTCTAAAATTAAGCTTTTTCGCGTAAGATTTTCTTGTAAAATTGTGATCACTGCTACTACCATAGGAAAAGACAACGAGTTCCATATTCAGAAATTATTTTTCGTGACACGCTTTCTTCACATATACCCCTGATACTTCATGCATTCTATACTATTCTTCGGCCATGGTACAAATTAAGTGTCGTTATTTCAAGAGAACGTGTCTTAAAAAAATAGGTCCAAATTCTGCATAAAAAAAAACGATTTTATAAGACAAAAGTAATCATATCACCAATTCTTAAACCCAGGTAGACACGTTATATTCAGATAAACACCAGATGTCATTATGACTCGTTGACTTTGCTTACCTGGATAACGAAGTATATGGTCAGACTCTCTCCCTCGCTCTCTCTCGTCCTTTCTTTTAATTTTTAATTTCTCATCTATTTGATTCAAATCGTGTTTTCTTCTTCTATATAAAAATGGTTCTTGTAGTAAACGATCTTGTAACCCTTGAAACTATCTGTATGTTATAATATGTGTCTTATTGCCTGCAGTAGAGACGTGGCCAAGTAGTTCCAGATCTCCCGGTTCACCCTCGTAAACCTCCGTGTTACAATGTTCTTGCACTGATTCTTAAACACACCTCTACAGCGTGTAGGCCCTATCCCATACACACGACTTCAACATATTAGAATCAGTCGCTGCGTCGAAAAAAACTTCTGAAAACTTCCACGGATTTGTTAAGAGAAACTGCTAAGATCAACACAAGAACATCTATAAACGCAGTTCTGATCGTTGGAACACGCTTTACAGATTTTCCATCGACTTGCCCAAGCCTGTCCCGTGTGCACCGCTGTCTTAAATATTAACGTGTCCGGACTTGTCCTTTTGACGTAATTATATTCAGCTTAGCGAATAGCACGACTAACCCTAAGTAACCCTGGCATAATTGAATAAGTGCGTGCGTTTAAGTGTTCGAGTTCTACTGCTAATGACATAAACTACAGATTTGCTACAAATAGGACTTCTTTTCATTAAATATTGATTGGATGATGTTCACCTCGTGTTGAATCATCACCATGCGCATTCCAGACTAGACTGTGACTGGGTTTCCATACCTAGATCGATCTGACAGGATCAATCCACCTCTGAGGGGTTTCTCGCAAAATTGCTTTCAGGTAAACCATAATCAATTACCCCCTGGCAGCTTCAGTAGGCGTGACAGACATCTAAGCCGCTTAAGTTGATTGCAAATTAGCGAGACCCCCTTGGAGATATTTCGATCCACAGTTAGTACGATAGGGTCTGGGAATGGTCCCTATATTGCACTAGACTGGAAATGTCGCTGTTCGTTTGATCAGTGGAAACGCGTGGTGTTTTGTCGATTGCCACAGTATCTTTTTGTTCATTTTGTGGAATATTTGTGTCTGCTGTCGTCCTTTGAAAATATGCGTAATAAAGAATATGCTTTATTGAATGCATAAAGGATAATATTCTAGCATAGTCTTGGGTTTAAATTAGGCATACAGCAGTTGTCACTCCTATCTAGTATATGTTCATGTTGTGTGATATTGAAGTGGATTATTCTGTTTCACTGTGATTTCAGGTGTATATCTGGAGTAACACATTTAGGCTGTTGTTAGAGAAAGAAGGCCAACAGGTAATAGGATCATTCGTAATAGTTACAAATATTACTATTATTATTATTATTATCATTAGCCAAGAGGTTGGGGTGAGGAGCTGGTCCTTCCGCTTTCCCTCTACTATCCACCATTGAGTTAGCATAATGAATGTACATGTAATCAGTTAGATTATAAATGCGTTTTTTTTTTTTCATGATACAACTCATTTTTATAAAGACACGTGGCATTCATTGTCATGTTACTTATATAATCTTTCTAAAAATTTAACTTACTGTTATGTGCTTAGAATATTCGAATCATTTGCTATTTCAGTTCGGTTCCAATTTCGGTGCCGCAGTCCTTGGTGTGGATCTAACCGGAAATGGACTGAGTGACCTCGTGGTGGGTGCCCCCATGTACAGCGCCCAGGCTGGAGACGAGGGGCGTGTCTACGTGTACATCAATAAGGACTTGGTGAGTTTGGCTTGAAATTTAACGAGAAAAAAAAAAGAAAAAACGCCCATACCCTTGGTACAAACTCACGCGCACTGTTTTCAAATATTCTAATGTGTTAAAAACGCGAGGTGGAGCTCGTCAATATTTTTTTTTCTGAACACATTATTTTTTTCCACAGAAAAAGTCCTCACGTGATGCACTGGGTTCAGTTTGCGCCCCAAAAGAAAAGAAAATGTGACCGCATATCAGAAAAGATACCGCCTGGCCCACCCAAACAAATACACCCAAGTGTGGCATACAAACAGTATATTGCCAGTTAGTTCACGAAACCTGTTCTTTGAGTCAAATATCACTGTTACTTCAGCCTGAAGATTGTTTAGATTAAATTCTGTTTGAAGAGAAAGCTGACAGATGATGCAAAACAACAAACTTTGGAAACTTGAGTAAACTTGCTTGTGAGTTTTGTGCCAAATGACGCGTAAAGCGGCACGGGTGCCGCGGGGAATCATCCCTAATCATCTTATCTACATGTATGTTTTCTGACATGTCTGAACTCACTAATATGTTTTGTTTGCCTGTGGTGCTTTGAGTAATTATTTGTACTGGAGGGGCATTATTATTATTATTATTATTATTATTATTATTATTATTATTTATTTATTTATTTATTAATTTATTTTAATTAGTTATATATTTCGTATTTATTTTTTTTTTTTCATATTTCTTCTTGGTTTCTTTCTTTCTTTTTTTTTTGGGGGGGGGTAGCTTAGAGCGGGGGTACGTGGACCTCTGTGACACTTTGTCATGGACGATTTTTTTTCTACTAAAAGTTCATAAAAAGACTAGCGTGATGAAATAAAACGTTCATATCTCCTAGGGTGTCCTGGAACAACTGGCTGAGCCACTGTCAGGTTCTAATGTGCCCGGAGCAAGGTTTGGAAGCGCGTTGGCTGCCATTGGAGATGTCAACCTGGACGGCTTCCAAGGTTTGTCAGATATCTTACCAGTCAAGGCATTAAATTATAACAAAAAGACAGGCAATGAAAAAGCAACAGAAACATTTACATCTTTAAAAAAACGAATAAAGCCACTCCAACAGTGTCGATATCTGATTTCACAGGAGACTTCATCGGGTTTGAGGTTTGTTAATGGCAGCAAGGCAGTAATATTTCATATAGAGTACAGATATTCAACTGATACACTGCTAGGAAAGATAATCTCGAGAGGGTTTAGTTAAACAGAAAATGGATCTGAAATTTGATAGCGCACATTAAGATAAAAATGATACACTTTGGCTAACTGTACTCTGGGTAGAGAGCTCACCTGTATGAAAATTATCACAATCCTTCTCAGTGAGAGTAATTTGTTATTTCTCTAACGATTTTTATGCAGATATTGCAGTCGGGGCACCATACGAAGATCAGATGAGGGGCTGTGTGTATATATATCACGGTCACCCTGCTGGGTTAAGGAGGAGGCCCGCCCAAAGGATCCCCGCTGCCGACATAGACAGGGGTCTTAGAGCGTTCGGAAGCGCTATCGGGAAGGGGTTGGATGTGAATAAGGACCGCTATAAAGGTTTGTAGAAATGGTGCATTTCAAGTTCAGCGCATGAAACTTTTTAACAATAGCTGAAATCTTTTACCCCTAAAGTATGAGTATTCAACTTGCGCGTGGACCCAGTAAGGCCTTCCCTGCTTTACCTATCTTGTTTGCTTTTAGATCTTATAGTAGGATCCAACTCCGCTGACTCCGCGGTGCTGCTGTACTCTAGACCTGTGGTGATGCTGACGTCGTCTCTGACGGCTGATCTGGACCATTTCCACCCAGAAATGAAGACCTGCTCTTACCGAGGCCAGGAACATCTCTGCGTAACACTCAGGGCTGGGTTCATGTACAACGGACACGGCCTCCCAGATTACCTCGGTGAGAGACGGGAAATACTGTCAGTTGAAATAGATTATAAAAACGATGATGTTTTAAACATGATAGATTTCAGAAAACGTACACTTCCAAGGTTATTTAAACTGTATTAGGTAGTTCTAAATTTAATTTATGGATTTTATAATGGAAGATTTTCATGTGATTACTGCCTTACCACCGATATCTAAACCTGTGACACCAGTCCTGTTTTACATAACGTTACCGAAAATATCCCTTTCTCTTTAATAGAGAGGTACTTGGGCCACGAACTCTCTTCCCGCCATATTTTAGAAATACGCCACTGAATCCTTATCTGTCATATCCCAGATATTCGCCACTGATCCCAGAGGCATTTTTTACTCCAAGCTAAGACAACATATCCCGTCCATTTCAGACATAAAGTACACCATCCGCCTGGATACTTATCAACCCACGCCCCAGCTGTACAGGGCCTCCTTTACCATCAATGGACTGAATGCCATACAGCAGACGGTGCTGCGACTGCGCAGAGGGGTCACCGAATATAATGAAACTGACATTTTTATCAAGGTCTGGTCCACTTTCAGTTTAAATACTGTATCAGGATTTGTGTTAAAGAGATATTTTTTTCCTTTTTGATAAATATTTTAATGAATCAAATTGGTTATTTAAACAATAACATAAGCCTGTTGTATGATTACGACTTCGTCAGTGCTCACGTGATACAAGGTTCGTTAAACTCCTAAGTTGAAAGTGGATTGAAGTAAAGAGCTAGTTCTGGCATTTTGTGCCCTTTTAAACACAGCACACTTACGTGATACCTGCATGGAGTAACAACTTACCTTGTCTGTCTTTGTCGCAGATGTTGACATAAATTATAGTGAAGGTGCTGAACTCTCTAATGTCCCGATTGTAGTACGCTCTCCCAATGCCACTGGAAACGGTGCTCAAGTATTGTTACATACTTTATAAAATGGGCTCGTTACATTTTAAACACCACAGGAACGTAGGGAAGGGGGGTGGGTCGAAAAATAATTTTGGCTTATATATCTCTACACTAAATCAAAATGTGACCTACATTCTATGCCATTTCTCAAGCTGAATCTATTTATGGGGTAAAAGGGTCCACGTTTTCAGACAAAGAACCTCCATTTGAAATCGCTGGCTACAGACCTACGCCTATGATGCTGATAGCGATTTTTTTTCTCATTAAGACCTCCGTCAAAGACATACTGACCCCTATCAATATAGTATTGGATGCGGAACTCGAGGAGACAAGCCTTAAAGCTAGTGGCTGCATCAGTTGTCCAGTGCTAGACGCTTACAAGGTGACAACGTCCGAAAAACAGGTGAGTTTGAAGAGCAAATGACACGACTTTTGACTATTATAATAACTCCCATGTTTTTGCGTCCACATTGGTTTGTTCAACTAAAATTAACAGTGCTTTTGAGCGATAACATGAACTTTTTAAAATCATAGGGTCTGTTCTCCCCGTTTAGTTAGCTGGTAGCGCCATCTGAGCTCATTACGGAGATGCAGGTGTTCATGTTTGTCTGCAGCATAACTTGTTTTTTCTGTTACTTGTTTTTATAAGATGCCATTGTGTCTATTGTTCGGGTAACAAAGGAACTATAGCTTCCGATTGCGTAACGTTGAGCACTTCTCAAATTTGACAGTTTCTTTCTGTACGTATAGATATAGGCCTATAGTTCAAATGAAAAAATCCAAATCTTCGCGTTATAATGAGCGTTTTTTCTATAATGAAGTGCGTTACCTGATACAGTGTACCTTTATAGTCCACCTGTAACTTTGTTATTTCGATCAGTGTCCAAGGAGAGATTTCATCTACAGAAAACAGCAGAGCGTTTACACTAGTGTCTATAGCGTACACATGTCACGTGTCACGTCGAAAAAAAAATTAAAAAAAAAAATAACAACTTGTTTTTTCGGGTAACTTTTACAGAGATTGTCAATAATAACGTGCAAATCAGTATCTACATGTATGTGTATCAAGTATATTAATGTTTCGCTAGAGTTCCCAAATATTTTCTCCCTTCCTTATAAGTGCATGTACATGTATTTCGACTTCTACAATGAAGCGTTCTGTGTAGCAGACAGTCACCTCCCACCCCCAGATTAACACTAACAAATTCCTCAGTTATCCGTTAGTTATCCGTTATCCGTTCATTTCAGTTACATTTCCTGCACCAGTGTGGCTCGGATAACCTCTGTCACACGGACCTCCAGCTGCAGTCCTCAGTGTCTCTACCTGGCCACGAATCTGTGTTCCTTTTGGGCTCTGAGGCACCTTTACAAGTGCACCTGCACGTGAAAAATAACGGCGAGGCCGCTTACGGTACCGAAGTTATTATATCTCATCACCCTGTGGTAAGTACTGAGCAGTATAGCCCGGCCCATCCTGATGGCTACTGCCATCTCCGGAGTTGAGCCCTACACTCTCTTTATCTTTAAAGATACTAATGAACCTGCTTACTATAAAATGAAAACTCGCCAAGATCGATGCGAGTACTTCAACTCAAGCCAGCAGTGCACGCTGAGCTCAAGTAAAAATAAAAAGCAAAGAGGTGTTTTGAGCACCAGACCTTTACTGATCCAGGAAAAGGGTGGGTTATACTGTTTTGTTTACGGTTCAAATTTAAGGTATGGACTCGATCAGAAATAGGAAATATAAGCAAATACCGGTATGGGTGTAAAATGTACCATCGAGATATACCTGTATCTAACGATATTCTTAGGAGAATTAAAATGAAGAACAAGCTCAGAGTTGTGTGATTTTGAAATATGATTCACTTCCCATACGCCATATTCGTATATTTGACATGGCATCATGTTATGTACACGTTATATATTGTCTGTTTTTACATTTTATTTTATACTTACGCTTGTGTGGAAGAAATGGGGGAGTTTTTGCAGGTGGAATAATTTTGTATCATTGTTATTTTAAGATCGAGTTTGTGAAAGTTGTTGGCTCAGACAAAAATGACGTCACAGTCACGTGCTCCCCAATGCAGTCAGACGATTATATCGACACGCCACTTTACGTTAGTCTTAACAATAGCGATGTCAACGCCACTGTACAAATCATCTGCGACATTGGGAATCCGATACCAGCCAATGGGGACGTTGAATTAGTTGTGTACCTGGATGCTTCAAAACTGAGATTTGAGACACGCCAGTTGAAAATAGAAAGCCTCGTCAGAACCGGAAGTGTTGAGGCCAACGTGTCATTGGCCAACAACGTTGCTATAGACACCATACCAGTCAAATTCCACGTAATTTCTTCACTCACGGGGTAAATAATGTAAATGTTTAGCTGATTCTTCCTGCTTTTTCAATCTATATCTTTTGATTTATAGTAGAACGTCTTTGTAAGATCTAAGATAAGAAACATTAATAAGTTGTTTATTTGAAACTATGGTGTAACCTTAAACGAATGGAGGTTGTTTTCCAATACATTTGCATTAGAGGAAATAAAAAGAGAGAAACGACCAACCGTCTTTTATTCTAAATATTTTTATTTCTAGCGCCTCGAATCCTGAACAGATCACATACACTAAACAGGACGTGAAAGGTGATAAGTTTGTCGAGTTCACACAAAGAGTTGACATAAGGAACCTGGGACCGAGTCCTCTTCCTGAGGCCGTCTTGGAGGTGCTGGTTCCCAAGGCAACGGAGCACGGTGATCGTCTGCTGTATCTAGATGTGGTTGAGGTAGTGTCTTTATATACTTCTTTACTGCAGAGGGGAAACTACCAGTGTTATATGATAGAAATAACTTTTGCGCGCTAAATTTGGAATGTTTTATCAGATTTCCCCCCTTGCGTTATGTAAACGGCTTTGATCCTGCCTACAATGTTTTATTTGAATTCTTAAATGTCAAAAGACAAACATTATGGCTTGGGTTTATTTATATTCTTTTGTCGAGGTTTAAAATAGATGAAAATCACTAGTCACACGTTGCATGGCCAGAAATGCGCAGCATTCACGCGATACGCGAGGGCGCTACAGTAGGGCTTCACGTGACTCAACTAGCCAATCACAGCACAACAATGGCATCGCACACAGACTCTGTGATAAGTGCTCAGCCCATTGTCAAGTAGTGTTAGTTCATGGTAACAAGCGTCTGATATGTGCAGAGAAGTTTATTGTAATATATATTGTTCTTATTGTTACATTATTAAATCCAACTCTGTATCCAAGCAGTAACTACACTGTACCAAGTCAGGTACTGATGATGTGCAGAGGTCATAGGCTATATTCCAGAATAAGCCATTACCACTAATTTATAACTTTAATTTTGTTTAATATGTTATTCATGAAAGAGTTAATGAAGGATTATTTTAATTTGTTAAATCGTGATCTTATTCTTTTTATATTCAAATAATTTAATAATGTGGGTAAAATTGGTCTTCCACTTCTTATTTGCATTTCTCCTTTACTACAAGATTATTTTTGAACAGTTGCAGCATTAAACTTTAAAATAAATAGCAATCTGAAAGAAGAATTTTGCATTATTATTAAATGATGGTAGGAATTTTGGGTTAAGAGATTAGTAAAATACTGAGTAGTGATATTGTCAGTCAATTTATGTAGAATCTGATAATATGATTGAAAATTCTGATTGAATTCTTGGCCTTGCACTGCATGGGCAGTTTCACATTTGTGTCAAGTGCTTTTTTTTGGACTCCATTGTACAGTGGCAAAAGTTCTTCAATTGCCATGAAACTTTTTAATCTGACTCTGTATGGTGCTGCTATCTGCTAGTGCTATCGGCAACGAATTAGTTTGCCTTTGTTTCTGAGTGAATCTACCGTCAAAAATCACTATTTCTGAAAATATGTGCGTTTTGCTGAGGGCAGGCTAGGCAATACAGGGCAAACTTCTTATTACGTGTGTACAACAGAATTTTTTTAAAAACCATAGCGATATTTGGTCAGGAGTTGCTTGAAGCATAGCACAGCGTTGCTGTCTATCGGCATCAGGCCGTTAGTTTGTCAGTTATCACGAATTACCCACGAATCGCGAACCCATTCATTTTCCTATGGCAATCTAGCAACTCATTAAAAGTGCACGCATGCGCAGTGGGCTAAGCGTGACGTCATGCAGTGCATTTCTGGGGATGGCCAAGCATACATTGCTGTTTTGTGGTTTGACTAATTATAAGCCTATATTTCATATAAAAGTCAGTCTTTAACGAGTAAAATTATTCTTTATAAGTATGTAAAAGTGCAAGTACGTCGTTCCTAAAAGTTAATAAACACAATTTAGAGAAATATATCTACAGGTTTTTTTTAAATCTTTATCTGAACATAAAATGCTTCAACATTGTGATGCTGCGTTTTCCTTCAGTTGACCATATTTGGTAATCTTAGTAACCAAGAAGAACTCGTTAACATGGTAACATTAGTTAAGTTGAGAAGTTATTTTTTCGTAATGCTTTTTTATCTGGATGCCTACTTATATTTATTCACTTATTTAAATAAAGATTCAACTTGCATTCCAGCTTGAAAACGATAATGTGATGGCAGACAAAGGCCTGTCGTGTTTTCTGCCATCCGGCCAAGCTAGTGAGTCCGGGTCACTTGCTACCCAACCCACTATTCCTGGGGCATTCACCCCAGACTTCATGACACTTCCAACGGTTGCTATGCCGACAGACGAGACGCCAGATGAGGGAGTGGAGGACGATATTATAGTGGTGCCGGTGTCCGCCAGCGCTGGGAAAAAGTGGTCTTGGTCTGAGGTTGATTACGTGGCACCAAAGTTGACGGAACATGTAAGCCGAGACGCACATCTCTGTCAAACACACACATATGCACACAAGACTCTCCCTCACGCACACACATACAGACTCTCCATCTCTCTCTCTCTCTCTCTCTCTCTCTCACACACACACACTCTCTCTTTTCCTCTCTCTCTTTCTCTCTCTCTATTTTTCTACCTCTTTTCATCCCTATCTGTAGGGTTTATGTGTTATTTGCACACTTGGTTTTAGATTCCCGTTGACTTATTCCAATACTCCCCCTAAACTTGACACGCTACCCAAAAAATGACAAGTCCGCGATTATCCTGTATCATATGGAAATATACAAACCGTTCTTACCAAACCCTCTGTACCGTTTCAGAGCTGCCGTGTATCTGGAGAGTGCTGGAACTATACCTGTGCTATCTCTAACCTGCGGGCAGGGGAGAGTGTGTTACTCACCATAGCGGCCAGTGTTCTCTTTGGGCAGCTGCAGCATTACACGGTAAAACTGAAATCTATTGTCATCGAACCGTTAAGATAACATATGGAACTAGAGAAACACTCAGAGATCTCAGACCTGCCCTAGGGCAGTTCACCTCTTATAAGTAATCAATCCATAAATTGGTGTATCGCTAGCAAAGTGTTTTTGATTCAGGAAGTCTGTTAGTGATATATCCTGAAAATTAATGTTAATCCGTCTATGATTTTTTTCTGTGAGGCCGTTAGCTAACAAACCAACAAAGGCAAAAACACTCTTGTTGAAAGTAATTATGAACCGACAGCAATGATTCTTCACGCTCACCTAATCACTCACTCAATAATCCATTCATTTAAATATTCATTCAATTTGTTTATCCTCACCAGGTGTCAGCTGATGGATTCTCCATAGTGTCGGAGGTGACGTTAAAGGGTCGTCATCCGCGTCTGTTGGACGTTAACTCCTTGGAACGGTCGGTTCGAGTGTCTACCCCTGTCCATCCGTCGGATTTGGCCGCTCCAGAGGGCATTAAGAGCTGGGTACTCGGCGTCAGTATTTCCGTCGGGATACTACTGCTGTTGATCCTGGTGCTTATACTTTGGAGGGTAAGTGAAAGAGCCTCCTGTTACACCGCTTGGAGAAAAAAATTGGCTCACTCTCACACATAAAATGTTACTTAAAACGAAATTTGTATGAAATATTTTGATGTACACTGTGAAAGCCCCAATTTTGAAGGGGGAGAGAGTGGATAAAATTCGTTCTCCAGGCGGTCCCCAGCTCAGTGTAAGAGAGGCTTAAAATCCACTTTTAACGTTTTTCTGTGTCACAAGAATATTTAGGGGCGTAAAATTTACATTGTACCAGAACCTTAAATAAACCAAAAGGTAAATATATATGCCATTGTTGGTGGGTCAAGCGATATTCAAACAAGCCAAAGTTCATATAATAGAATATGATTATTCAATATTTTAAACAAATTCAATAAATCGAACCCCTTTTTTACTAGGGCAGCAGGGAGGTGCAGGGATAGGATGGGTTGATTCCGATATCATTTTGCGTGCCTAAATCTTATGCTGAAAGGGCACAAGTCAAACAAAGGCATTTAGGCTTTTTTTTTTTGACAAAACCAACAATGGTTCCATTGCAATAATGGAACTGCATAATTGTTGGTCTTCTCTGCTTTTTCAGTGTGGCTTCTTCAAGAGAAAAACTCACGAAGAACTTGAACGGCTCATGAAAGAAGAAGAAGAGGATCCTTGGAACGGGAGCGTCATTGAAGGCGAAGAAGATCGTGTCGCCGTCTATCCACCTGCAGATATGAACAATCATAACCACAACGGAACATTCCAGTATCGACCTGTGCATAGTGATGACGATTATTACGAGCAACCAATCAGTGTGCTGGACACATCGTATTAGAAGTAGCAACCCATCAATGTTCATAACACAGCAAAATCTGCATGGAGTGTGCTCAGATGTCCTGGACATCATTCGCAATAAGTGAAAAAATAAGAATACGCGTGTTTTGAGATGCATTTGATGTCAAATTTTTTTTTGCCATAAACCCTACCAAATGACACCTAGTTAACATTAAGATAAACCATAAGGCAACGCTTCATATTTCCCATAAAATGGATTGGAATGGACAGCGCGAGCAGCAGTAATGCGCCATACATTTATACGACGTTTACGACTTTTACGAACTGTAGGGGCGGATAAATAGATCAATTTACAGCAAGAAATTTAAAGAAGGTGCAGTTTTAAAGCTCTTTTATGGCTACTCTTTTATTTCAGTCGTATGAAAGAGGTAAAAGTAGTTTATATGGCTTATAGGGAATCCACGCTCGCTTCATATGTAACTCTAACACGGAGGAGCCTGTTCCCTCTTCTTGATATTTTATTACCACCGAACAAGGACAAAGTACGATTAACACAGCAATTTTAATAGAGGAGTCGTACATTTAAAGTCTTAAGGTTGCTCAGCAACAGTAATGTAGGAGACCTCCACTGTTTATTTTCAAGATTTGCTCACACTTTGTCATGGGAATGCAAACAGAGTGACAAAGTTTGAGCACGACTCGATAATACACAGTGGGGGCTTCACACGATACTGATGCTGAGCAACCTCAAGGTTTTATTTTAACTGTACCTTACATACTGTATTTGTAAAATAAAGAGTTTTACTGTTTATTGTCAAGACTTGCTTCAACTTCAAACTTCGTTACTCCACTTGTACGATTTGTGAAAATGAAGTTCGACCCCACATTCGCTGTAATTCCCACCGAATTCCTTTCCTTTTCAAAAAGTAACGAATGGTGGTTGAATTATCCTTCGAAATTTGGTTTAAATATTTACCTTACCACATATGATTATTGTATAATTATAATAACGATGTTTCTGAACTTTTTTGTAGAGTGTAACTTCAGGCCCATGGGAGGTCAGATTCCAAAAAAATACCAATATATGAATATTGATGACAGTGTACAAAATAATATTACATAATGCTTAACAGCATAAGCACCATTGCTATTGCTTGTGTGAAAAAATAAAAAAAAAATGTTGCTAGTTCGGGGCTCAAGTGGATGGGAGTGAAAAGTCACATCTTGAAATGCCAGGGTTTGAAAAATGAAAAATGAAAAAGCATAAACAATCCCAATATAGCCGCCATTGAAACATTAAATTTAGCTGTATTAGCATACAATGAGTCACCACAGAACTGTTATTCATCTATAGCATAAATATTGACAGTACACAACAGTGCATCTGGTACATGGCTAAACCTGTGGGAGTCCAAAGTCACTACCAACTTGTGTGTTTTGTGTAATCTCATTTAACGGCCAGTTGATAATTAATATGGCAAGTGGTTATAAAAAGCTATGAAATTACCCAAGGGGCAATTAAATGTACAGATCAACCCATGAGTCCATATAGCACAATTAAACTACATGTAATGTGGAAAAGGAGGATTCCACAAAAACAGCAAAGCTTTAAGACACATATTCTAAACTGGGTTATTTTTTAAAACTCAACTAGTATTGTAATAATATCAACCCCTCCTGTATATTTGAAGATAGTTGCCAACCAGTTCTTTGCTTCATATGTTTTCTGTATGGCACATACTACAATGTATGCCTTGAAAAACAACAAAAATGGTCTGATTTTAAACTAGTTTTTTTAAATAATTTATTTCGGTTTTGTTAGTTTGAAGACAGACGGTTAAAAGGTTAACGACGACGGAGATGACAGGTGCAGGTGCGGCTTAATACAGAAACACGCTGAGTCTGTACATCAAAATCAACCTAATACAAAACCAATTACAATGGAGATAATCAATAAAACAGCCTATAACCTTAATTTAACACCTGGATGTTCAACTAATGACCTGTAGATCAACACCTGGTGCCATATGCATGTAATTTGTGACTGCTCCATTGCCAGCCAGAAGGCTCTAATTACTATAAGGGTAATGATAGCTAAGATGTGCATGTTTTATGAAGATATTATGTGATGTGATATATCAGTAAAAACCTCAATCATTTTATTCCTAGTTCTTCTATAACATTTTTGTTAAACAACTAGTATGTCAAACATTTTATATTTCACAAAAATCCCTCGAAAATTGTAAAATGTTAAAATTTTGATGGCTATATGTACAGGCATGATGTGTCTGTATATAAAAATTAAACATACATTAGTGCACAATGGCACTTCACTGCTTTCTTTAGAAACATGGACGGGACACTTTGTCTAGTTCCAAAAATAGGCCTAGTTCCAAAACCAGTTTGGTCAAACCATTTTTCAGAAAGTTTTGCCATTTTTCACTCTATAAAGCATATTTTATTCATCTCAATAACACATCTCAAGGAAATCTATCGTCTTCAAACTTACTTACAGAAGTTTGATATCACTAAAATACAGGCCTAGTTCCAAAAACAGCTTAATACGATTATTTTCTTGATGTTATGCTTTCTTGTGCGAAAATATTTATTTTCATGTTTTGACTTTGAACCTCCTTGGTCCTGAATACTTTTACAAATCAAATTTTCTGAATATCCATGATAGCTTTATATATGATACTTTTAAAAAATTGATGGTGATAATAATGTTTAGCATTGTTATATTGCATCAAAATTGACAAATATTATTTTGTACACCTTTGTTTTGAATAAAAGGAATTCCAAGTTCCTTCGCGAAAGGGGATTATTTTCAATCATGCTGTCAAGAAACTGTACAGGATATCTGTGATAAAACAATTGGCATCGGCATCTAATGTTTGAGGCTCCACATTTAAGCATCAACAAATTGCAGAGATAGTTCAACCTTTTTTACACCTACATCTCAAGGTAAGGTTTAAAACTGTTTGTCTAGTTTCAGCCAGTTTAGTTTTATTCTGTTTTTACCCCATTTATGCTTTACCATGATAACCTTTAATCAGTCTATGATGGTGCTGTGAGATTACACCCCTGCATGCGCACGCATGCATTCGCACGCACACACACACACACACATACACATTTGGATATTTCATGATTTTCAGGTAAATCATACATGTATGTTTTGGAGTGGTTTTCACAGTTTCCTTAAACAAAATTTATTTTTGTTATATTATAAAAAGGGATTCTCTGACATTTATTTGTAGTATATTAAAGTACTTTAAAGGGATAATAACTCTATAATACATACTGTTGTACCACAAAAGCGGCAGTTATAGGTATTATTTCTGATATCTGAGCTTGTCTTTAAACCATGTGACCTCCATTGACGGCTATACTCTGTTATAATCTCTTAAGAGATTATAACAAAAAAATTAGAAAAAAAAACTGGGACTAACTTTGAATGTAAAAATGGATTCATTAACCATTGGTAAGTATGGGAAAATTGTTGTTTACTCCAGGAAAATTCATTTTTTGGCCAAAACGAAGAGTTATTATCCCTTTAAGTACATGCTGAGCTAGACTCAATTAGATAAGAGTCATATATATATTTTATGTTTGTAATGTAAACACATGTTTCATTCATGAAAGTGCGATGTTGGACAAACGCAAAACTTACGTTAATATATTCATATATAATGCAATTTACCATTCGTAATGCTTTTTTACGCATGGGTCACTATTTCAGGTCATTTCAGGATTCTACAATAATGATATGCCCTTTATGGATGTATATTCAGTGGCCTGTAAATTGACTGTAAATGCTATATTATTTTGCACATTTGCATTGAAGGGTTCTAACTCTTTAACATTCTTAAATTTATACACAAGATCAGTATTTAAGATCAGCATTCAAAATCAGAAACAAAAGGTGTCTAATCTAAAGAAATGAAAGGCATACAACCTACAGGCTTGACATTTAATATGGAATATTTTCCTTTCAAAAGTATGCCTAGGTTAAAATGTATTATTTATTTCTCAAACGTGTATTTCACGTGAATTATTAGAATAGAAAATGAGTAGTGAAGTGTGTCAGTAACAATTAACTGACTGCCTTGTCTGAAGGACCGCTTCGTTACGTAACGTGTGGTGATTTCTGTGGGCAGTACCCTTTTGGGCTGGTCCAACTATGACTATGGCAGAGCATGGTTCAGTAAAGTTAGTCTAAATATTTTGGCAATGCCTGTACAGAAGATTTTGAAATGTTTACATACAAGTGCGTAACATTAGAGAAGCAGTGTGATAAAACATAGTTGCTCTGCGCCAGAGCAAATGGACATAGCCAGACAGATTATTGTTCAAGGAACGCTCCGCACAGTCTTACAGAGGTTGCCCAAAGTGGGTGTACCTAAACACAGGCCACGCCCAGGGCATCCAGAACATACCACCGGGAAACGGAACCCATTGCTCGTACGGTTTTGTTGCTACAATTTAACAAAGACAACCTGTTGCCTTCAGATTGTACCCGACCTTTGAAACAGCTTTGGCTAAATACACAAAAATGACAAATTTAGTTGCTGATCATCACTGTTATAATTACGCCACCATGTATCATGCCGGTATTCCTACACTAATGCATTTGTGATTGAAGTTAGGATATCCATTATATATATAGTGCTATGAAAATATAAGCTCATATACACACTGTTGGTAGGAACAAAATGCCAAGCACGAACTGCGTGTTTTTCAATATATTTCTCGTCATATCTTGCTGGACAGTGTTCAGCGTCCTCATTGTTCATTATGGTATATTGATGCTGGATATCAGCAATTCATTCAAGGAGAATTCTCGACCCGACAAAAATAATCTGAAACTAAGAGCCGTCCGACGCCAAGACAATGGGTATAGCATGGTCGGAGGTAAAATAGACCTACCTACTACAGACCAGATTGATCCTAAGACAACAGATCGATCTTCTATGGCAAATATATATGAAACAGATTTACAGCAGCACAAGCAGACAGCGAGTTCCAGTTTCAGGTTGGATCAAAACTTAAGTGCCATCAATGTGGCAAGACAGCAGATCGGTTTTCTTACCCATAACAAGGTGCACCCGGTTAGAGAGAAGGTTATTCTGTTTTGGAACGGCTATCAGAATTTTTGCAAAGAAAAGTTCGGTCATCCATTTCGCTCGTGCCCTATAAATGCTTGTTCAATGTCTACGGATCGAAGACAGTCAAAATCCGCTGATGCCATCATATTTAACATTGCCGCTCAAGCGTTTAAAAATGAATGTCAGGGAGTAGAACCAAAATGTGAAATTCCAAATGTGAAACCTAGCCACCAGGTATGGGCATTTTTGGCCATGGAGCCACCTTGTCACACAAATATATACAGGCATTCAAATAAAGAGATGCTTCTTAATTCGTTTAACTGGACTTTTACTTACAGAAAGGATTCAGATATATGGTCACCTTATGGTATGGTAATAAGACGTGACAAACCTTTAAAACGAAACTACTCTGCTAGTGTTAAATTGAAAACTAAACTTGTGGCTTGGGTTGTGAGTGATTGTATCACTTGGAGTAGGAGAGAGGAGTACGTGGCAGAGTTGATGAAATATATTGATGTCGATATTCTGGGTGATTGTGGAAGACCGTGTATATCGTGTTGGAGTTACGTGAATGCTACCTACAAATTCTATCTGGCCTTTGAAAACAGTTTTGCAGTGGACTACCTGACAGAGAAATTTTTCAGAGCGTGGCACTTGGATGTCGTCCTGGTAACGAGAAGCGGTGTCGACTATTCACGGTTTGGAATAAGACCAGAAATGCATATTGACACATCAAATTTCTCATCACCTAAAGAGCTAGCAAAATACCTTCTTTTATTAGATAAGAACGACTCCCTGTATCTTCCGTACTTAGAGTGGAAAAACACCCACGTGTCAACCAGACCATTGGAATCCCGCTACATGAATTGGTGCGGTTTATGTGAAAAGGTGCACGAAGAGCCAAAAACGTCAAAAGTTTACACCAAACGCGAGCTTCTCGAGTTTCAATATGGAAATGGAGAAATCAAAGGCTGTTACCACGCAACAGATATAGTTGGCCCCGCGCAAAACTGCACCAAGATTAAGAAAAAAATAATGTGTTCAAATCTTCACCATGAATGACTTGAAAGTACAGGACTAGTTTTTGTTGCTCTTTGACGTGGTCGATGATGACTTCTTCACCTACTTTGCTATTATTTCATTACTAACAGCAGTTTAGCATTGTAAGTTAATTATCTCAGAATTTTGGCGAGACATTTTGACACTTAACTTTAGAGTGAGCAGAAGACCCATCATTTTTGCTTTTAGATATTTAAGAAGTGAAATACTGGTAGCAGTGGCGCACAAGCATGTTTGACAATTTACCTTTCTATGCATACATTTATTATGATTTCAGAAGATTTGTAATGACACTTATAATAGATACTAGATAATGATGGTATACAGGGAACAACAGCTGCAGACGACTTCTCAACAACAATATACATTCATTCATTTATTAATCTATTGCTTGCACAAAGAATACCGCATGTATATCAGTTTGCTCGTCTGTGAGTTTGTGGTAATCTCTATCTCGCGATAGAAACCACGATTTTAGAGATTTCTGTTTCAATTTTTCTCTATATGATAGTCTTACTACAAACTGATTCAATCTTCATAGGGATCAGATTTCGACTGACAATATTTTAGAATAGAATATAAGTTATCAAATAATTGGCCTATCAACACTGCTGAAATATCCCTATTGACTGTCCCGGGGTTAAGGATGGCCAATATGAGTCTCTGCATGGTGATCATGACAGACAAGTATGTCTATAGTGAAGAGGAGGGGATATGTGATGGTTACCTATCAACACTGTAAGATTAATTTATATAATATTTTGTTCTTATTTTGTTCTTATGTCCTTCTTGGCAGCATACCCGCCTTTACATATAGCCATTTATGTCTTTTATTTTAAATAAAATATGTATGAAATAAGGCTAAACAAGTTTTGGTAAAATTACTGACTATCAAACATGAAACAGACTGCTTAAGTGCCTGCAGCTGACTAAAAACTGTGTGACTTGAAAACCTCTCAGGTAAATGTGTTATGACAAAGCTGACAGTTAATTGGCTGACGAACTTGCCTAGCTGTTAAATGCATCTGTCAATTAAAATGAACAAAATGTGCCCACACAAAGTTTGTGTGATCATTAATGATAACACTGTATAGAAAAGAGGCATATGGCTGATTGGCTCTTTATATTCAATGGAGAAAATGTTTCAGATACATTATTTTAGAATCATTGACATAAATTTCTGTGTAGCTTCTGTGGTGCTCTTTCTGAATAATATAGAACTATTAGGTAGCCTGCTTTTCAGTTTTGATGGTACCAGTCATTAAGAGTGTTCTTATTTGCGGAATTTATTATTTAAAAGGTACAAGTATCTTTAAGATACACATTTAACCCACTGAAAACAGTCATTATTTTTGTTCGATGTTGCATATATAAGTATAAAACTCTTAATCAATGTACATACATGTATATTCATTTATTCAAGCATGACGTATCCTATATCAAAAGACTCGCATTTGTGTACTGTGTAATTTTATTTATTTGCACCACCAGCGTAGACACTGGCTGTACATTTGGTTTTAGTTCCGACCCGTCTCGTCCGCCGATCTGCCGCCATGTCACCGTTACCGCTTCTCCTCCAAGACTACAAGAGCCTGCGTACCCATCTCTTGGATTTAGGTCACATGTAATCTCAACTCGATCCACTTTGTCAAAGCACGGGGCAAGTTGTGTTGCTGGTCGCAATGCACCTTTGTTCAAAATTTGTCAAATTAAATGCTAAATATCTCCCAAACCGAAGGAATTTCGGGAAAAATTTCTAAAGAGGGCTGACTGAAAATCATACGTGGAGATTTCAAACAAAGTAGTAATTCGATTGACCTTATGCTTAAGTAGTACGTATTACATAGTATGACATACAATATGAGTACACTTTAACTCTTGTATGAATATTAAAACTGTCAACGCAGAAGCATAAAAAAAAAAAAAATTGAAAAAAGAAAACAAAAAGGAAAGTTACCGGGTTTCATTTACCTCTGCCTATGATTTCAAGAGACAAGTGAGTTCCCTGGTCAAGTTGGCAATCTGACTTCACAGGTAAATTTAATCCAAGTGTGTGTCTTCACGGCCAGGAAGACAAACTGACCGGTGAAAGTGAGAAATTTAGTTGATACCTGTACCCTTCTAGAATTAATTTTTCATAATGCAGAAGCCATTTTTTCCGTAGCCAGTAGCCATAGTATCAGTTCTTTTATTAATAGTGGCTTTAATTTTAATACCCCACTTATATTATTGATAGTGTTTCTAAGCCCCATTCTTTGCCATTGTTGACCTTATGTTTTAAGGTGCACTACAAAAAAAAAAAAAAAAAAGATTTTACCTCTTTTAATTATTTAAAAATAATTTTATCTGCAGCGTATCTGATGGTGGTACTTCCATCACAGCTTCGGAAGACGGTCGCTGCTTACAATGACTGGGCAGACTTTTTAAACGAAATCTACCTTTATGAATTTTATTAAAGGTCGAATCCAAGTGCAAATGGGGGTAGAAAAATGAATGGTGAGTGCGAGAGAATTACTCATCCTTAGGAAAATCCATTTTATTCTTCTAATATTTCAATGCTACTCGATAATACTGCATTTTCAGGGCCGTAGCCTGAGCAAAATGCCAGGGGGTGGGGGGCAGACACGAGGGGGCGAAGCCCCCGAGGAGGGAGGTCGGGGAGGGGTTGTCCCCCGCCCACGGTGTTGGAAATTTTTAAAAGCTGTATGTATAATATTGCATTCTGGTGCATTTTAACTGTTATTTATTGGTCAATCAGAAGTCAGAAATTGTGGGTTCATTTTGCCATAAGCTGATTTTCGTGCTGGTAGCGTCGGAACCCGATCATTATCTCACACCAGAAACTAATGACACACATGCATAATTCAAGACCAACAAAATATGGCCTATGTAATGTTGTAAATTTAGCACCTTGTTTTCAGAGGCGAGGAGTATAAAATGCTTGTATACTATCGGTAGACTTAAAATGGCAAAGTGCGCTGGACAGAAGAGCGTGCGCTTTAACATCTTGCTTGTCATAACCTGCTGGACCGCCGTCAGTGTTCTCATTGTTCACTATGGTCTGTCCATGAAAGGTGTAGATGATTCTTACAAGGAGAATTCTCGAAGTGATAAAAGAAATAATTTGGAATTTGATATAGTCCGCCGCGGAGGCACTAGAGAAAACGGGGTAGGGAAAGAAAGATACCAACCTGCCACCAACCAAGTCAATTCAAAGACTCTATTTTCTATGGCAAATCAAAATAAAGTGCCTCTTGTCCAGCACCTACAGAAAAAGAGTTCTAATATTAAGCTGGATCGGGATTCAAGTTTCATCAATGTGGCAAGAAAACAGATCGGTTCTCTTACCCAAAACAAGGTGCACCCGGTTAGAGAGAAGGCTATTCTGTTTTGGAACGGTTATCAGAATTTTTACAAAGAAAAAAACGGACATCCATTCCGCTCGTGCCCCATAAATGCTTGTTCTATGACAACTGATAGAAGTCAGTCAAAAGCCGCTGATGCTATCATATATAACCTAGCTGCTCAAACGTTTCGCAATGAATGTCAGGGAGTGGAACCGAAATGTGAAATTCCTAATGTGAAACCTAGCCACCAGGTTTGGGTATTTTTGGCCATGGAGCCACCTTGTCAAACAAATATATACAGCCATTCAAATAAAGAGATGCTTCTTAATTCGTTTAACTGGACGTTTACTTTCAGAATGGATTCAGATATATGGTCTCCTTATGGTTTGATTATAAAACGTGACAAACCTTTAAAACGAAACTTCTCTGCCAGTGTTAAATTGAAAACTAAGCTTGCCGCATGGGTTGTGAGTGATTGTATCACTTGGAGTAGGAGAGAGGAGTACGTGGCAGAGTTGAAGAAATATATTGATGTCGATATTCTGGGTGATTGTGGAAGACCGTGTATATCGTGTTGGAGTTACGTGAACGCTACATACAAATTCTATCTGGCCTTTGAAAACAGTTTTGCAGTGGACTACCTGACCGAGAAGTTTTTCAGACCGTGGCACTTGGATGTCGTCCTGGTAACGAGAAGCGGTGTCGACTATTCACGGTTTGGAATAAGACCAGAAATGTTTATTGACACATCAAATTTCTCATCACCTAAAGAGCTGGCGAATTACCTTCTTTTATTAGATAAGAACGACTCTCTGTATCTTCCGTACTTAGAGTGGAAGAACACCCACGTGTCAACCAGACCATTGGAATCCCGCTACATGAATTGGTGCGGTTTATGTGAAAAGGTGCACGAAAAGCCAAAAACGTCAAAAGTTTACACCAAACGCGAGCTTCTTGAGTTTCAATATGGAAATGGAGAAATCAAAGGCTGCTACCACGCAACAGACATAGTTGGTCCCGCGCAAAACTGCACCAAGATTAAGAAAAAAATGATGTGTTCAAATCTTCACCATGAATGACTTGCAAGTACAGGACTAGTTTTTGTTGCTCTTTGACGTGGTCGATGATGACTTTTTCAGCCACATTGCTATTATTTCATTACTACGAACAGTTTAGCATTGTAAGTTGATTATCTCAGAACTTTGGCGAGACATCTTGACATTTAACTTTAAAGTGAGCAGAAGATTTAAGAAGTGAAATACTGGTAGCAGTAGCGCACAAGCATGTTTGACAATTTACCTTTCTATGCATACATTTATTATGATTTCAGAAGATTTGTAATGACATTTATAATAGATACTAGATAATGATGGTATACAGGGAACAACAGCTGCAGACGACTTCTCGACAACAATATTCATTCATTCATTTATTAATATATTGCTTGCACAAAGAATACCGCGTGTATATCAGTTTGCTCGTTTGTGAGTTTGTTAGTTTGTTTGTGGTAATCTCTGGCTAGCGATAGAAAC